TCGCGCTGGACTGGATTAGGGCTCCCTCCCGCGCCATGTCCCCGACCACGATATCACAGCCAGACTCGCCTCTCGGATTTGTCTTCAAGACCACTCCAGACTCAGACTACTTCCCGTTTTGGGCTCCGGCACTCAACTCGCCACCAGGACTCGTCTGTCAGTCTCGCTGGACTCATATTGACTCCCGTCCCAGGCTCCGGCCCGTGACTCACTTCCAGGACATGTTTCTCGGGCCAGCCGAGGCTCGGACTTCCTTCTGCGCCAGGCTCTGCCCGCAACTCGCCTCCGGGATTCTCCTCCCACACTGTCACGGTCTCTGACTGGTCTCCTGCGCTGCTGTGGAGTCAGGCTCACTTGTTCCTTTCTGCTTTCGCTGTGGTTACATTTTAAGAAATTAAAAGTTGGTGGGGGAGAGGGGATAAAAAAAAAACTGCAGCAAAGAGAAGAAAAATGAAAGAAGAAGGAAAAGGGACTGGAGAAGCAGATGAGTTCTGGCTGGAGTGCTCTATCCTGTATTGAAATCTTTTGCACAAATACTGTTTCCTCCTTGTTTCTGCAGATGTTTCACTGCACTCTAAACTTTGCCTCTGATTTCCCTCCACAGGTGCGGCCAGACTTGCTGTATTGTTTCAGATTTACAGTATGTGCAGTTCTTTGTTTGAATTCAACCTGATGTGGTGTTATTTATCAAAAGTGTGAAACACTTCTTTTTGTTGTTTTTCTTTTCTTGTTTTGTTTTTTTCTCTCCCAGAACTCACACCATCACAAAAAAAAAAATCTGGAATAGTTGGCAGAGAGAGGTACAGGCAGTGAAAGACACCAAGGCTTGATAAAATGAACCGAATGCCCTACAAGCTCACTGAGAAAGAGAAAGAATGGGAGAAAGTAGTTTTATGCAACTGTCATTTATTGGAGCGTAACTGTCATTGGTTCTGACAGAGCAGCAAATCTTGTTCCTGAAAAACTCGAGTCAATTTCTGAATAGGCAATGTCTGACCATAAGCTGGGTTAACATATAGAAAGCCTTCTGGCTTACTTTTCTATTAAACTCTCATCCTAACAACATGGGACCCCCTTTTTCACTCTTATTAACGGTCTTTCTGTCTGCTGAGTCAGTGGTAAAATACTTAGTGTATCTTCCTCAGTTTTCAATCGTTCAGAATTTGTGTCGCAGGATTGGGTGGGCAGGATTCGGGGTCTTGGGATTCATCTGAATTCATGATTCAGGAAGCTCAGGGCATGATTATCGAGTGTCATTAAACACAACTGTTCTTTCTGTGGTTCTGTTCTGGTACACAAAGTATCCCGGGAAAACTCCAAGATACTTCCTGAAGATGCTTGACACGGGGGTTGAAGAAAAATTTTCAGATGTAGCAAACAGATTCTCTGCTGAGTTAAACAAACAAAAAAGTTAAACGGTTCCTGTCCGTATCTTCGGAACTCTTTTGTTTGACAGTGTATTGTATTTCTGTGACATGAAGCACAAGTTGATGCAGAACTACTTTTCAAACACTTCCCCCTCCCGAGCGTGAGAGTTCCAGGAGTGTCCAGCAGAGGGCACACTCACATTAATATTCAGAAACGATAACATCACCTTCACAGAGAACTTCTGCCCAAAAAGCATAGAATCCCTACAGCGTGGATGCAGGGCATTCAGTCCATAGAGTCCTCACAAACCCTCCTAAGAGTATCCTAATAAAACGTACCATTTCCCCGTGTTTTTCAGGCAAATCCAGATAGCCTGTACATCCTTGGTCACTACAGGGAATTTAGAACGGCCAGCCACCTCACCCGCACACCTTTGAGCTCTGGGAAGAAACAGGAACACCCACAGGAAACCGAAGGAAGAGTCAACTTCACAAAGACAGCCAATCCAGGCTGGAATCGTACCCGACCTTCTAGCATTGTGAGGCGTCACTGAGTTACCATACCACTCAAAGAGCATAACAAACCATAACATCTGACAAGGATAGTTGATGATGACTGATGGACTAACATTATTTTATTCCAACATTTGTAAATTTATGCAAGAATAGATGTCATAGATTGCCTGTAGTGTTGAAGAAGGCCATTCGGCCCATCACGTCCTACCGCCTCTCCGAAGAGCTTACCACCAAGAGACGACCCCATCCTTGTCACCTTGCATTTTCCAATGGCTCGTCCACCTAGCGTCCACAACCCTGGACATCACGGGGCAATTTAGCATGACCAATCGACCGAACCTGTACATCTTTGAACTGTTGGAGGAAACTTGCACACCTGGGGGAAACGCACGCAGACAAGAGATGAATATCTAAACTCCACACATATTGGATCACTTCTTTTCAATTTTTTTTTGTCATTCGATCAGTTTCTCTGCATGTGTGTTATACTGATCAACCTTTCCACATCTCCACTGTCAGGTTCCTGGAACGTTGCACTACGGTCTGTTTATCGGGCTTATTTGAAGGGAGAGTCTTGCTAATTCATCCACAGTGAATGCATGATCAAAGGATTGTCTCTAATCTTTAAAACAAGCCCGAAACGGAGAACACCCAAGCGTGAATTTCACTTCAGCATACTCGTTCAAAGCTGCCATGTGTTCTGTTCATAGGAAGAATCCGGTACAATCATTTCCAGCTACCATCAAAAATACTCCGATACATTGCAAGTGGACAATCTCAACTGGCTATGGTCTCTTTCGTATGTCGACTCCATTCTGGGCTTCAGGTTCGCAAATGCCGTCTATTACAGAGCCGTGTGTCTCTGCAGAAAGTGACAAAAATCGCTTTGTGTGTCTCCGGTGGGAAAACAATCAAAGCCAATTTCATCAACAAATTCGGTCTGATTAGTCACTTTGGAGAATTTAACTGAGCACATCCATCGCTGTTGCATCTTTACTTCTTTGAGATACATATTTCAGATTAATAACCACACTGTCAGAATTATTAAATGTCAGGCTATCTATATTTATCCCTTATTTATCAGATCCCCAGGATGTGAGTTTAATGTCAATAACATCGATTTTTGAAGCGAAAGTGACACTCAATCAAGTGTAAGCAGTGTCGGTAGGCGCTGGCTGTGAAGGAACTGACATCAGGCATCTCTCAGCCAATGATATCAGAGTTTATTCTCTTTCTTATTCGATGCTTTGCAGATCTATGTGACAGAAAAAAAAAATCCCCAGGAATCAGAGCAGCATCGATGCAGATCTCCATTTTCACGCTGATCTCGGTGACATTCATTGTCGGTAAGAAGTTTAACACGGAATGAAAGGGTTCAGTTTCTCTATCACTTAGCTTGACCGAAACAAGTATTCTTTTCAATACGTATTAGACCTTGGTTGCATTAAGCTTGGGCTATTGTGAACCGATTAACTCGACATCTTGCAAGAAGAAGAAAGGGACACAAAGCATAGAAAGAGCAATTAGAGTGATGATCCCAGTAGTAAGATATAATCGCTTTCGAAATGTACAATCCACTCTGTGAAGGTGCATAAGAGTCAGAATAATGATCCGAAAGAAAACTTAAGGGAATCCTGTTTTTGCTTTCGAATAATGAACTCATTGGCTCAAGGAGTGTTTGAATCAGACCATAAAGTCATGAAGGATACGTCAGATAAATAGATGATGACGAGATGGAAAGATGGACGCGCAGCTAAAATGAGAACACGGGATAACGTGGATTCTGGTGTGGATTGCTAACACGGATATTGGACAGTGTTTCTGAATTGTTTTATGTTCAAATGAAAAAAAAAACAAAAAAAAAAAATTGCTGGGAAAACTCCATACGTTTGGTTGCATCATGAACAGAAATAGAAGTAAAACATTTTTCGGTCCTATACGGCATCTTTAGAACTGATTTCGCTGGCAAAGAGAGCTCTTTGTGCTTTTTTTTAAATTTTGTGTTCAGATTCTTGTCACGTCGCAGCGAATGCGCGCTTTTATTTAACTGTCAGTTCGACCTTTCAGCTCAACATTTAATCAATTATTCCTGCTTTCTCTAACCTTATCTTCCAGATTGGAGCGATGGAGGTTCTGTTGTTCAGCGGGATCCCTCACTCAAGCAAACAGAGGGAGAATATGTCTATTTAACTTGTATGTACAACGATGATGTTGATTACTTGTTCTGGTACCGCCAGCACCCTGACAGAAAGCCCAAGCTCGCAGTCTGGAGTTTGGAGAGCGGCGATGCTGAATTTAAGGCGGATTTTGCTCAGAAGCGATTTTCTGATACAGTTCAGCGGTCAGACAAATTGTACCGAATGACCATCTGCTGCAGTCTGACACCGCTATTTATCACTGTGCAGTGAGGTTCACAGCTTCGTACAATAACTGCTGCAGGTTTCTGGGTCACATCTGCTGCCTGTTGAAGGCTGTTTATAACTGGGTTTCAGAAACTGACACTTCTGTACATCCCTGCGCCAGAAACCTTCGAGCATAATCCACGCAAACATCATTTAAAATCGTTCACATGAATTAATGATTCTGGCGTTAATACTGATACTGTAAAGTAGCTAACGAATGCTGCTGAGTTAGGGATCTCTGCGAATTCACAACTGCTATGAAGAAAGCAAGTGCTTTGGATGGAAAGTGATACGTTCTCAGCGGCAATTTCTGAAATACATCTCTGCAAAGGAACAAGTAGTTGTTAATTCAAATAACAGTTTACAGTAGACGCTGAAATCTTCCCAATGAGCGTTGTAATAATTGTAATACACTGATTAAAGATCTCTCCTGCAGTGATCTGTAGCTGTTGCTTTGTGCAACCTCTTTACTGAGTGGAACACAATGTCAGATATTGTAGATTCGACAGGATTTGGATTGCAATGACTTTAATTTAGATGTTCTAAATTCTCTAATCACATATTTGCATTTTTTTTCATGATGTATTCAACATAAGTGAGGATCGGAAATCTTGGCCAGTGCTGCACCTGTAGCTCTCGCCGTGGTAAGTACATTGTTTTATTTGAAATCAGCGCATTCTGGTATAAATTTAGAAAGTAAATGTTACTCCCGAATCTACCAGGGACAGTGTTTTTGTATGGGTTGCTTTCTGGCTCCAGTTACTGTGTATCTCAGCCCGCAGTAATACACCGCACTGTCAGACAACTCCAGTTCATCAATAGTGAAATTCCCTTCAGTTTTCGAAGCCTCCAGAGATGCAGAGAATCGAACTCCAATGCCATTTTCTCTGACGACCTTTCCGTATTTAGGAATGTAGATCACGATTGTCGGAGTTTTACCTGGGTGCTGACGATACAGTTGCAAGGAAAATGAATCAGCTTTAGTCAAATAGCGGAAATGAATGGTCACTGAATTTCCTTCATTCTGTATTGCTGTCACCGGTTGTTGTGAGACTGAATCTGCACAACCAACACCTGCAGAAAATTAGAAGACAATGAAATTGAAAGGATAAATATTCTCAATGCCACCGTATTAAGTGCATATATTTTAGTGTAGAGCAACACAGCCAAAAGGAAGTTTGCTCTACCCACATATGCATACAAAAGAACATTTTGCGACTCAGAAACTTACCAGTTAGGAGAACTCCAACTGTTAGCAATGAGCAGAGTGTAAGAGCCGACATGTTTACAAAGCGAATGGAAGGTTTGAAAACAGGTGGCTGAAGCTGAATGGTCTCAGCTGGCGAGCTGATGGTGGCTTGAAAGTAAACTGTTTCAGCTCAGTTTTAGGAAGATGCTGAGTCATATCCGGAATCATTGCTGTTTGTTTCCTTTCCGACAGTGACAAGCGTAACACCCAATCAGCTCACAACGCCTCTTGTTCTGAAATCAATCACGTCAGAGAACTAGTCGCAGAAAACACAATGGGAGGTTCAGAAAGCCATTTAGCCCTTTGAACCTGCTCTGCCGTAAAATGGGACACTTCTTGATTTCTGATGCATCCACCCTCCTGCATAATCTCTGAATCCCTTTCCCACTAAGATCACAACTCTGTCGACATTGTCCGAAATATATTGAAAATAACTGCTTTATATGATATAGCAGAAAAACCAAACGGGCATTAACGCCAACGCACGTTCTTTAAATTGTCAATCCATTTGTTTGGCCAGTGATAGATAATAGTGAACGTTGTTGTGGTTTGGATGCCAGAGTCTTCGTGAAAAGAATTGTATCATAAACAATAGACACAACCACTATAGAGAAGGATTTTGGACAGAATGCAACACAGAAAAAAAAAAGTAAGATTTGTGGAAAAGCTGACCGTTCTAAGTTTTGACAATGTTAACAATTCACAATGGAGATCGCATCTCCAAACCAGTGAGGGGATGTGTTAAGATTCCCTTTTAATTTTTCACAGCGACTGACCGTGTCTCTGTTATAGTGTGGACATCAGTGTGCAGTAATACATGGTAGAGTCAAAGGCAAGTGCGCCGTTGGTATTTAATGGAGCTGTTGACTTGTCTTTGTCCAGATTAACGGAAAACCAGCCAAAAAACCCTATAAACATATTTCCATTTCCCTTTCCGAAACTCTTTACTAAATATCTCAGAGTTACCCCGGGATGTAGGATTTACCGGGGAGTCCACTGTAGTTTGTTGTGTTGCAACGGTTCAGTTTTGGGGACTGTCCAACATGAACATTCGATTGAAGCGAATCTTGGGAAACTGAACCTTAGCCACACATTCCTGCAACAAACATTACAATGTATATATAAATAAAATGTGTGTGCAAAAACGCAATGAAACATATAATGGCGGTTTCAGCTCACACTCACTGGCCAGCGTGACCATGGTTATCAGGAAAGCAAACGGTGAATGTGTAGATCAACAGTAAACAACGCATGGTTTAAAATGTTGAATCTTAAAGTCTTATACCAGTGACTGAGCTAAGATCAGAGCCAGGCTTGACTTGCTGAGAAACTCAGCGGCATTTTCCCCAGTTGCAATTGTCTGGTTTCTCCTTTCTGACGTTAACTGAGGACCAATCACAGTTAGGTAATTACTGAATACAGTTGGATCTCTGCAATGTATTTCCTTGTTATTTGTTAGTCTTCCTCACCATCTTGCTCTCCCTCACATAGTCAGATGTTCAATCTCGTTCTCCCTTTAACTAGAAATCATAAATAGGAAGAATTTGCCATCCGGGAGAGATACCCCAAATAAGGATAATACTGAAAGAAAATAAGTTCCTCCTCAAAGCCCTATTGAATGAGACTCCCTCATAAAAATACCTTACCCTGTTCTAGATTCCATAACAAGGGTAGATGTCTGCTCATTAGCCATCTTCTCAATCCATCCCAGAATCTTATATGCTGACAGTCTGGTGCCAGGTTTTGGTACATCTTCTGAGGGAGAAGAACTTAAAGTAGGATCGAGAGAATCCACAGTGGGAGGATCCCATCTTTGTGGGCAGCAAATATACGAACGGCACAGGTGGATAAAAGAAAGAGATTTTGCACAATATATCAGAGTTGCCAGGCAGACAATTATTAAGCAGAATGTCAATGGTCATATCGAATCTTTGGTTTATTCCTGAAATGAATGGAATGGACAAAACAAAAAAAAATGTTGAAGTGATGTGTGCTTTGCTAAACGATTGGTATGGGAGAAGTCGAGCGCCAGCACCAGCACTTGGGAATGTTGGATTTTCAGGGATGAGACAACATTAATCTGAATGGTGCAAGAACCTTTGCAAAGGCGAACGACATGACGAGGAAAGTAGAGAAGATTTGTAACTAAATGATCTGCGACAATTAATGAAAGCTTAGAAAATGTGGCAAATCAAAGAATCGAAGAAAATGCGTTTTAAAATGACAAGATGACAAATGTGGCCTTTACATCAGGGTGTAGAGAGGACAAGTCGAAGGAAAAAAAGGCAAACGATAAGACAAGAGGATAAACAGAAATTATAAAGTGTTCAGTGCCCCTGGATCCGAATGCCCATTATATTCACAATGGAACAGGTAAATTAAATGCACAAATAAAAATGATTAAGTACAATCTCACTGCTGTTATATGAACATAGTTGAAAAAAAAGACATGGAATGATACCCATATATGGAATGTTAAAGCAGATTTCAGACGGACAGGTACATAAGAAATGGTAAATGGTAGCTATGTCAGTCAATTATGCCATAAACACAGTGGGAGGAATGATCTAATTAAAAGAAACTAGGATATAGAACACGTTTGGGTAGAGACATTCAATTATAATGGAAGGAACTGTGGTTGTTGTGCAGCACCCGTGCCCCATCTCTCCACAGGAACTGGGTGCAGTATAAAGTAATAAATACTGCTCACGTTTCAGAAATTCGAGATAATCACGAAATATTTTAATCCACACTTATATTGTGCCAGATGGCCAATGATCGTCTAGATAAGGAGGTCATAGATTTTTTTTTTTCAGGATGATTTCTTCGAAAATCTTTTTGTGGAGTCGACCAAACAGTCGACCTATTTGAAATGTCTATTCCTATCTTTCTTCACTCCCGCATGTTCTATAGCCCATTCACTTTTCAACTGATGACAGTTTCCTTTCATGATTTACAATGGAATCTTTTTTTTTATCTCTTATTATAGATACTTTATTTCAGATAGTTTGAAGCTTATATTGTCATACATAAAATTTATCTTTCATTACAATGACACTTGTCTTAAATATGATTTTGTTGAACTTCATCAGGTGCAATCGGCCGATCAAAAGTGTATGGCTTTGAACACACAAAATCATAGTCCGACCTTATGTTTTCTTTTAAATGAGGATAACCTCATTTCTTTTCCGAGCTCACATTAAAGTTTTTCACTTCAGGTTCAACGCTGGTCCACATCTTTTCTAAACAAACTAAACAGATATGGTATTAAACATCTTTTGAAAGAGACAGATTTCCTGGCTTACAGGTCCGCACACGACCATCCAATTGTTATAGCTGTTATCATTATTTTCTCAACAACATTCCCAGAGTTATTAATCTCACCTGAACTTGAATCCGGGCCTTCTGTTCTACGCGTGCTTTCCCCAATCACCGAACACGCATTGACCATTTTTTTACATATATTCTTGGGATGTGGACATCGATAGCAAGACCTGTATTTATTGGCCATCTCTAATTGCCCAGAGGGTCGTTGAAAGTCAACCATATTGCTGTGGGTGTGGAGTCACATGTACACTAGACCGGGTAAGAATAGCAGTTTCCTTCCTTTAATGACATGAATGAACCAGATGGGTTTTTCTGACAATCGACAATTAATTCATGGTAATTATTGGACTCCTAATACAAGATTTTTATTGGATTCAAATTGTGAGATTCAAATCCGTAACCTAGGTCTCTGGATAAACAGTTCAGCGATAATGCTACGAGGTAACCTCAGTCCCTCTTGTTCTGTATTGGGAAATGAACGTTAGCTGATAGTCAATATTTTAAAATGTAACATAATGACAATCAGACATAAAGAACACGAGTAATAAACTCAGTCTACTCAGCGCCAAACTAAATTTCTGGGATAACCTTTTTGTCACGTTTCTTCCTTGTTATGACCAACAATAAATCCTGAAAACGTTCATTGATGGATTCAACCTTTATACAAATGGATACAGCCGCGAAGAGCGCCTCACCAGTGTATAATGAGACAGGAAGACCACAAACAAGAGGCATCTTGAGTTGACTAAGGTCACAATAAGCCTGATATCTAGAAATTGGTGAGTTCACAATGACCCTGCCTCTCTTCAGTGAGTGAGCTCACAATGACCCTATACGGCTGCAGGAAGTGAGGGCACAGCTGACCTGTCTCTTTGCAGTGTTTGAGGTCACAATGGGACAGGCATCCGGCAGTCAGTGAGATGACAATGGACCTGTGTCACTGCAGGATGTTCTGTGACAATGGGCATGGCCACTGCACTGTGATGGTGAGCTCTTAACCGTGAACAATGAGTTGAACTCATTTTAACTGAGTCCGGGTTCGCTGTCTTCTTCACAACCCGCTCTCAATCCATTTTAATTTAATGACAGAAATGCACTCCGAAATGTTTTTTGTTCATTTTTATCTTTACTTTAAGAGAGTCTGTCTTTTTTTAATGTTCAAAACGGCACGTTTTACGTTAATTCTTCAAAGTTTGATATTGTGTTTTATATAATTACGAGGCAAAATTTCCATATTAAGGACAGCTCGGAAGATTCTAGACTCCACATAATTGCTCTTGTACAGACATGCTTGGATGGGTACTGCTAACTAAGTGATACTTTACTCCTCTGTACCCGCAATTGGCCTATGTGCAGATCGAGTAACGCATTCTCTGGAGTTCACAGTCGCGGCTGAAGTCACATCTGTGAATTTGTATTAGAACAAGAGCAACCTAGACGCAAGTTAAACCCAGTGACATCTGTTGAAACCGGTACACCCCCCAATGCAGAATTTTTCCAAATCAATAATTTTAGAGGTTAAGAAAGATTCAGGACCACGTACATACCACCTGCTGGTAATTATAATATGTACTGTTAGCTTTGTAAAAACTATCTGAGTGTGGAGAGTATGGTGGTCTATTATTGTGCTGTGAGGCACAGCATAGATAAAAGCTAAAGCCCTGGAAACAGCGTCTCTGAATCACAACACCTCATAAACATTTTACA